GCGCAGTGAATGACTTGGTTATTGTCAAACCCTTTTATAGTTTACACAACTCGTAATCTTGCACTTTTATGCGTCATTTTGGTTTACTGTTTTCCGACTGACCATTTGCTCGAGTAGTGATTAAGTAAATGGAAAAAGTAAAACGCCGGTTAGAGTACCAATGCAGAGATAACTGTTGCAGGTTAATCCAATGAACACTGAAATGTAACCGTTGCCAACTCACAATAAACGTCAACTCCCCCCTTACAAATCCATTCTCCCCGTCCTTCTCCTCCTCCACTACCACTACAACCAACTTTCTCCGGTTGTCACGTGACTCAAATCACATTTCCATTCGGTCGTTTTACGATCAACCAAACCTACCGATACTCTGTCAATCATGCTCTTCCCATATTGGTTCTTCGTGATTTGATTACTGTCTTTTGGCCGCCCATTCGGATGAAAAAGCATAATAAACATTGGAATTTTAACAGTAAATTCAAACGAAAGATAGAGACCACCATGTAATTCAGCTTGTTTTACTTGGATAGTGTACTGGGTTTTGTTAATGCACCTTTGATGGTAGGAAACTTTGCCGTCGTCCGAATTATTATCACTATCGTATTTCACGCCTCCGAAATCCTCAGTATGGTCGTGGGTGGGTGTCTAGGGTTGCGCTTGGTCACCCTTGCACCTCGCGAAATGCTCCCATACGACCATGCGTCTCAGATAGCCTCTGCTGAGGAAGCCCTACTCACTGCCTTCTCGTGTCAGAGGTGTTTCCCCACCAAATTGAGAGGATAAAAAGCCGACATCCGGGGCTATAACCGAGTTAGTGGACCACTGGCAGTTCATCCAGGGGAGTTGACCGAAAACCCTGATTCCCAACAAACCAAGAGGAGACGTACGAACCACACCCACACCTTTTCGGTTGTGGCAGTGGTCACCGGCTCATTTGGGTATCAAGGTATATTTCACACGTTGGACGTTAGACCCCGTCCGATGAACTAGACATCGGCTTCCAATGGATTGCGGTTTTCGCACACCGCCCCGCTACCTTGCGGATCAGGCCTTGGCTAGCCAAAGGCTCCGGTTGTGGATTCCTCAAGAAAATTCACCTGCCTCGGCCTGGGCAACCTGGCAGTATTCCTCCCACATGAAAATCATGGAACGGTTTTCTGTTTATAAGGATCATTGTACCATGATTTCTTTGGCACACAGTCTGGTCTAAGACTGGTGTGAAATATTATTATTATTATTATTATATATCACACTTGTTTGAGGACAGACTGCGTGCCAAAGAAATAATGGTACAATAACCTTTATGAAAAATAAAAACGTTCCATGATTAGGAATACTGCCAGGTTGCCCAGGCCGAGGCAGGTGAATT